CGTCCTCGCGCACGCGTGCGGCGTCCTCGCGCACGCGTGCGGCGTCCTCGCGCACGCGTGCGGCATGCGCGTGCACGCGTGTGGCGCACGCATGCGTACTAGCATCTGTGTGATGCTCCAGCTGCTCCTGGAGGATCGCGCAGGCGCTGTATGCGTCCTGCGCATGCGTGGAAGCGCAGAATTTGTCAAAACTGGGTAAGGAGGGGGCGCAGGCGTGCGGGCGCGGTGCGCGGGCATGCACGGGTGCGTGCGCAGGTGGGCCCTTCGCCGTTCCCGGAAGTTACTTACTTCCGGGTTCGCCGACCAACCGGTTTGCAGGGACCGCCGCGAACCGGTTGAAACCCACCCCTGCTCTGGACCCTGGGGAGGGTGAAAAACGAGCCTCACGGAAGTACCGGAAATCTGAAAACAGAGCCCGGGGAAGGCCGTTTTTGCTCTCCCGGAGGCTCCAGGAAAGCCTCCGAAGCCTTGAGAGGGTGAAAACGTCCCCCTCCCATCATGGTGCAGAGGCAGAGTAGGCCACGCCCACCCAGCAACCGGGCAGAGAACTGGTTGCTAACATTTTTCAGTACCACCCTTGGATATGGGTGACATCATTCTTCAAGACCTAAAGCCTCCATTTTGTACTTTTTCACCCCACCCGTCCCAAATAACTGAGCGGAAAATTTGGCCTCCAGCCTTCCAGGGACAATGAAAAAAAGGAGGGTCTCGCTGCAACGAGGGATGCATGCTCAGCTTATTTTTCATGCGCAGAGAGACCATTTCGAAATCAATACACGGTGGGCCTCCATGTTCTTAAGACACGTGAGACCAGGATTGCTACTGCGGGATTCAAGTGTTATAGGAATCCAATCGCTTGACTCTGAATGCCAAAAGATATCAGTTTCCACTGGGCTCCTTTCAAGGGCTTACAAATTCTCTTGTTTCAGACACTTCCAAATGGGCGACCCATGTCTTGGTATTCTGCGGTGGGAGACACACTGAAAGTATCATGTAAGCCAGTGATGGCTAACCTTTTTGTCCTTGTGTGCCAAAAGCGCGACCCCCCCTCCGCACATGTGCGCATGCCCCGCCCATCCCACAGCCCGTTTTGGGCCTAGCAGGCCTCCGTGAAGCCTTCTGTGACCAAAAACAGGGGGCAGGGGGAATGCGCTGCTCCCACGCTCCCGCACATGTGCGTGTGACCTCCCCCCCACCCACGCATGCACCCACATCTCCCGCATGTGTGGCAGAGACCTGAAAATCAGCTGGCCGGCAGGAAGCGTGTGCTTGCATGTGGGGTGGAGCTGAGCTGGGACGATGGCTCGCGTGCCCACAGAGAGGGCTTTGCGTGCCACCATCACGGATGCAAGCCTTGAAACAGGCTCTAACTATTTTAAGATACCTTCTTTCCCACAATCAAAACCTTATTAAACAGCATCCTTGACACTTCCAAAACAGACAGAAAGAAAGGCAGAGCCAATTGATCAATTAAGACAAGTTGGATCATTTAAAAAATGAAGGGATGAAAACAGTGGTGGGTTTCAAATTTTTTTAGAACTTCTGTTCTCCTGCTTTGTGAGAGTGGCTTGTCGGCCATGTGACCAAGTGGGAGTGGCTTGTCAGTCATGTGACTGGGTGGGCGTGGCCAACTTGTAAA